AAGGAGGGGGCTCGTAGAAATTTTGCAATAAGTCCCAACGATAGGACCGGCCCTGCTCTGGACTGTTTTGGAACCCAATTCAAAATTCTCGCTTGGAACTGCTCATTCTGATGCGGGCCATGCCCATTGTAGGGCGGTACTCCGATTAGTTGATATGTATTATGGCGCAAGGAAAAATCTCCAAATACGACCCTCTTTCTTGACAACGTCTGCACAGACTGGGTTGGAAATAAAGTTGGGGGAGAGCACTACAGTGTGCCTTGTGCCGTTACTAAAGCAATCAAATACCAAGGAAAACATACTTCATCGAACAACTTTGTGCAGTCAACATACATTTCATCACAGGAGACGGCTCTAATTTCAAGCGTGTACCTGAAAAAAAAAAGATAAAACCCTGTCCATGGCTTGAAAAGAACACCTCTCTATGGATCTGAACACATTCACGTCGACGAGACTCGGGTTAGACTTTTATGCAGCAGGAAACACGCATCATCCTAGTTTTCCAGGCTCGATTTCATGAGCAGACACAAAAACGGGTCACAGCAAATAAGACTTTCAGCAGAATATATTGCGTTGAAAGTGCAGGAAGAGTTGATGAACCAGATATACTCTGTATCCCTTTGGGTGGTGGCCCCTTACTGAGTGTGGACTGAAATGTGATGACATCAAATTTGATGATGACTTGATTATTTTACCTATGAACCAGTGGTGAACGTTTAAATGATTTCTGATCTTTTGTGGGGAGAATAAGGGATATTATCAGCTCCATAGAGTCAAAACAACAGAACTTGTAAATAGTTAGGAATACTAAAAACTACATACCGTAGCAAAGACTGAGAAGAAATTGGAGACACAATCGGAAATGCATGGATTTCATATTTGGGAGTTTCTGAACGCATACTCGGCGATGCACGCGGACGTGAATGTGTTAAGAACCCTACCTTTCGCGGTTGTGCGAATTCGAGCTGAATATATCCCTTATGACAAAAACGACAACGAGTATTTTTGCCGCGTGGGTCAGGCGCGTTTTAGTGATACAACCAGGTAATTCAAGTGGATTTTGTGTGGTAAATGTATAAAACATGATTGATACGAAATTGAATTGAAAAAAAAAATTCCCAGTGCTTAGAAGCTACCCAGGGGTACAGTTGCAGAACTGCGACCAAAGGACGTGACAGCAATAAAAAAAACAGAATTTATTCTATCTCGATTGTTCTAATCAACGCACATGTCCTGTCATCCCAGGCTCGGTTTTACTTCTACTATGCTTCCAATCTACACGTTTATGAAAAGAAAAGAGAACGAAAAATAAAACAAACTAAGGATTTCGTAAACTTAAAGCAAAATCCCCAGCAGAAAACGTGTCGAAGAATCTATTCCGTGGGTGGGAACGAGTAGCCCACGAGTAGAACAGATGGGCCGTTGTCGCGGCTTGAAAGGCGGCTAGGATCTTACAAAGCCAGCATTTGGCGACTAATTTTAGCATTTGGACGAGTTACGTAGCGCACACCCCATGACACGCAACGTGGATTACGACGTAGCGGCTAATCAAAAACGCACGAATAAGCCGAGTCGTGGAGCAGGCAAGTTCGCACAACTCGTATAAAGCCGTCCCTTCCTTATTTCAAGCCCTTGTTTAGGACTTCGTCGACGGCTTTCTGCGGTTCATTTCCATTTGTAGTCAACTCGGCATTCATTACCTTATTATCAACCGCTGTGAGCCCACAAATTTGTCCTGGGGATGTTGCTTTAAGAAATTCTCCGCTTAATTGAAGCACATTCAGGAGCCCACTATTTTCGTAGCTAAACTCAGGCTCCCACAGCAGAATTAATACATGAAACTTACGAATAAATCGCGCGTGCACGGAAAAATGAACGTAATGGGTGCAGGACACATGCGCCCCGCACTGTCCCACACGGGGCCGTTGCAGGTGTACTCGGCCGGGAATGGGTCCCATACTGCGTCCCTACTCCCTCATTGTCAAGATTATGGGGTAAGATTAGTGCAGAGATACAGAATTTTGGAATTCCATCTCCAGCCGGACACTGCTTCACACGGCCCCAACTTGAACCACGTGCGACGTACGTATCCTGCACGTTGGATTCATTTTTCCGCGCACGCGCCATTTATGTCTACGTTATTTGTGCTTATTCTACAGGAGAAACCTTAACGTAAATCCAGACATAGTAACACACAGAATTGTCAGATATGCTTGATTTTGCAATGGTCTTCTGAACAACACAAAACTCTTAGTTTGATTCATTTTTCATTTTATATTTGTTTTCATGAACAGTAAACAATAAGCTGAGAATTAGTAAAAGACATTCGCTTTTGTCGTCAATCGCTAGCGGATCAAGTAAATTTTATTTTCCAACGTTGTTACACGCCCTTTCAATCAGAATTTCACTACGTACTCCCGACTAGCTTGAACGCACTAAAAATTACTGAAATCGTTTTGTATCGGCTATGATTTGCGTAGTTACCACCCGAAATCCGCGTGAAGAACTGGGGTGTCCCCCAAGAGGCCCATCGCGCGGCGAAGGAAGAGACGCAGATGCGGCAAAGGACGAGTCGCAGCGCGTGCTGTGCGATATGAGACGTAGTATGGTACACTCTATTTAACCTGACGCCTAACCGCTACAGTATGCGCTGCGACTCGTCCTTTGCCGCGTCTGCGTCTCTTCCTTCGCCGCGCGGTGGGCCTCTTGGGGGACACCCAAAGGGCTGTGGCGACCGCGCTCCCAAAATCGGGACGGTCCCAAAATGCTTCGACATCAACTTTCAACTTTGTTTGTGAGTTCGTAACTTGTTTTCACTAACCGAGCAACTATTGTGTAGATTGCCTTGGATATAGCACGATAGTCGTCGAAGAGGTATGGTAAGCACACCAGGTTTGGGCACAGCTTTATTGCATCTCGAACTATCATCCCATTTTGAAGTCCACAATCACGGGCAGCGTAACTTACGGAAGCCAATTCCGAAAAGCCAGCAGAAACACCCTGAGATAAATTACATTCAAGCATATTTACTTCGATGTTATTTGCTAGGTATAAGAATTTATTATAACATGGCAGCATTTCCAAAGGATTGCTGGAACTCAAATTTTTATTTTCAACTTTATCATAAATATACTACGGCCAACAATCCGGATATAACAGTGTTGTCGACCTTTTTGCATCGCCAGTTTGGTTTCGCACACCAACCCTTGCGTCGCGTCGGGTTACCAGTACCGGGGTGACATAGTTTGATTTAACCCGTTTCGTCTGGAGCTCTTGATCTCTGTTATTTCGCTAGCCCCCGTATTTACCCGACTTCAGTCTGTCTTGTAACCACGTCGCCAATATCAAATTTTATTCCCGCCCACCACGGAGCTCGCCAGAATAAACACGGGGAGCTGACGTAATCTCAAATTGGGAGTGCGAAGTTGAATTTTCAGGTGGAATGGCCCTGCATGGGAAATGGTAAAAAAAAATGAGGAATGGGGACGTCTACACTAACGTGGTGTATAGTGTTGCAAGAAATTCTACAACCCAGGAAGTTACAGCTACGCTCTAAAACCAATTTGTATGAAAAGACCTTGCTATGAGTAATCGCCACTGGCTTGCCAATCAAATCCGGTCGGTCTCTCAAGGCAACGGAGACGAAGAAGCAGTCCAAATCGAACGTGGAAAATTACTCGTGACGTCAACCTGCAAATAAGAAGCAACCAAGTAGCATTTTCGAAGTTCCCATTCAATTTTTGCAGTAGGAAAACTAAAAGACCTACGGAACGAAATTCGGAGACGCCAAGTATTTCAGACCAGCACGGCCAGAGAACGTGGGAGAGTCGCCTTCACGCATCGTGTTCACCCAATCCTTCATTTCTTGCGCTAAGGTTGAAATCAGATGAAGGCGGGATCTACAAAATGCCAAAACTTGAAGAGCAATGCAGCGTAAATTCAAGCTAAGAAGTACAACTAAGGCTCAGTAGTAGATGAGGTAATCTCCAAAGACAAACATTTCTAAGTGCTCCCCTAAAAACACTTCATCTCGCCGCACAATGGAAACTTAAGAGACCTATTCTTATCTGTTGCTAGCAGGTAAGTACAGTTACATCAATTTTGTCCATATTCGAAGGGTAGAGAGAAATAACAAAGAAGAATCCCACAATGCCGAGGGAGGGGAT